TCAAAACAAACTTGTGCAATGCATCATAACATAAGGAATATTTTTAGATTAAATTTTCACTACTCAATCCCTTAACTCAAAATCATAGAAAGGGGAAGTTTATCATAATTTCCATCAAGATTTCCTAAATCATCACATAATATTCATTACCCTCACTTGTATTAATATTTTGACCCTATCATCATAGCACATAACAATCAACTCTCTCCCTAAGGCCCAAAATACCATTTTAATTTACATTTCACTTAATGCAAATAAGTAACAAAAAGGAAAATTCTAGTTGACAATCAAAATTGTCATACACATAAATTACCCAAAATAAAGAGGCCTATTACAAATGAATTGTGATCCTAAGCCTTAGGTTGTTTTCTCCTGTTTTCACTTCTTGAGCTATTCCCTGAAATATTAAAGATAATAGGATAAGTACAACTACTCAGTAACCAAGGTCCGACTAGCCCATACTAATGCATATCAATTAGTTTAAATGCAAGTGATAATAAATATTATTACTTTAACCCATGAGAAACATTTAAAATAAGAATTCACAACTTAGCTCACATAATGGCATTCACTTGAAAAAATAATGCTTTTAGCATCTTTCATATAAATAAAATAGCTCACACAATTTATTGACAAGCCTAATGGAAAAAATTATTACTCAACTTAACATATCCACATCATGAATTCAATATAGACAACAAGTGCCTTTTCTCACTATATGTATGATCACACCTCCCTTATATCCTCCTTATTCCTCTGACACAAAAACATGGGCTATAACTTAATGGGATAGTCTATATTCTTTGACCTCCCTAGCCTAAACACTTGTGAGGACATTACCCGATCAAGGCGTACCTAACTCACTTATGTATTACGGTTTTCCCTATTTCTCACACTATGGGGTGTCATACATCCTAGAGTAGCTTCCTTATTGGATTGGTGGATAGCTAGCTAGGTTTAAGTCTCTCATTGAACAAGTGGGACGATATGAATAGAATCAATCTAGGATGTCCATCACACGGATAGGGCCTTACCACATGAATTTATCATCTACTCCGCTTCCTAGGCGAACTCTTGCCTCTCTAGATCATGCTATAAACATTCATGCGATAATTCATATATATATAATTCATAGAACTTTACATTACATAATTATTGGACTTCTCAACACATTTTATGGAACTTCAAAAGCAAACAAGTCATTGAACTCCAAATCCATAATCATTATACCTCATACTTTCAAAATCATTAAACTTTCATATTTTCGTACATCATTGAACTCCTTCTAAATAAAGATTCATTTTGCTTCTCAATTTGTAGAAGTCATTGCACTCCCAATGAACAATAATATGAAAATCCACCACTATTTTTCTCAAGGAAAATTGTGCATCATAAGGCATAAAATTTACAAATTAGATCTAGTGAATTTCTTCACAATTTAAGCCATACTTGCATTTCTTTTATCTTATACACTTCAAATGATAATTCATAAATCAATAAACCAATAGTCACACATAAGTATAGGATATAATTTTTTCAGTTACCTCAAACCTTTGAGAAGTCAAAGGTTTCACCCCTCAACTATTCACTCCCAAAGCTTCCAAGAAGCTTGAATGGTGCCAATGATAATTATACTACAAACATTTACCATGCAAAATATCAATATCTATTTTGAGTTATTTTTCACTAACATTTCGTCATTTCTTAATACTCAAGCTTTACTTTAAACTCATGTGGAAGTACCCATAAGGTTTCTTAGCTTCCTTTAACTCTCATTTATAACATTAAGCTTTTAAATGGGCATTAATAAAGCCATATTATTTTTAACTACCAAACTTACGGGAATTTTGAATATTTAATATCTTCCAACCACCAATCATCATAAAACTATAAATATCAAGTTTACTTAGCTCAATCTACCCCCATTAATTCTATTTAAGTCAATGGATTCAAGCTCATAACTTCTAGGGATCGAAAATCACTATTAGCAATCAAACCCTAACCTTTACCATCAAGAAAATGAAAGAAGAGAGGAAGATTTAAGCAAGGAAGCTTACCTTGGGCGTTTATGAGCTCTAAATTACTCCCAATAATCAGTTTCTTCAAGCCCTAATTTAACCTTTTCGCCACTCTCTCGTTCTTTATTGTTTTTTCTTCATTTTCACTTTAGATTCGCAACTTAATATTCACAATTTTGGCCATGCGCCACACAAAGAGCTTCTTCCAAGCGTGTTGGCATGCATGTGCAGCGACAGACCAACCACAAGCCGTGGCGCGTGGCACAGAATCACTCTCTTCAAAAATTCTTCCTCTTTTATTCCCAAGTGACCTGATTCTCCTTCGAACCCACATTAAAAACTGAAATTGAGATCAAATACGCCCATTAGGTGTCTCTGGCCACACACCTCAAAGATTCACTTTGCTAATTTATTTAAGCTTAATTAATCTTGGTTTAAAATTGAGGATGTCACACATAAAGATTTGCTCAGGGATGTTAAAATTTGAAAATTTGTGTTGCTTGCAAGGTTTCACCAGGTAAGTTAACATCTTAACGTTTTTTGTGATAAATGCGCTTTAGGTAGAAGTGAAGTTTATTAACTTCTAATATTGCTTCTGTTGGAGGTTTTATTTTTTTCAATATTCTTAAAAAAATAATCTTGAAGATCAAACATATAAATACACACATTATATATATAATATTAAATATGAATCTTTTATTTTTTTTTATGAAAGTATAATTTTTTTATTAAAAAGTTTAATCTTACATTTTTTAGTGAACAATAATCAATTTATTATACATATGTCAATAAAACAGATATCTTTTTTATATCAAATATACTTGATATATTATTTGATGAGTCAAATATATCATCAACACCCCACATTATATTGGATGCATATTCAAATCTTTACATTTTTTAATAGGGCGTTGGAAAAAAAAAATCATGTTTTATAAGGCAATTGCTATCCATATAATATATACATGCATACATTATTTTTATTACTATTCATGTTTATTGATTTTTTATCAAATTCAATTTTTAATTTGAATAATCATTAGATGTTAAAGAAATTTCTACAAAAAAATAATTGTCATATATTTGTGCTTCTTGTTATGCCGAGTTAACTCATATCAAAATAAGTTTGGTGTTTGGAATTATTAATACAGAATGAGTAATGATTTTGGGTTCATGTCAATTTGGTATTGATATCATCCAGCCACAAGTAAATCAGAATCAAGGTTCTATTAGAAGCTTGAATCAAGCATCACAGAGTAGAGTTTGGTTGTAAAAGAGGGAGAATCTTAAAATTCTACTTTGAGTAGCTTGATTCAAACTTCCAACAACAGTTTGATTTTGATTTTTCTGGTGGCTGTTGTATCATTTCAATACCAAAATTCTCACACTGTTGTGCTGTTGATGCGTGGGTGGAGGATTGGAGGAGGTGGATTTTTACAGAGGAAGGAAGCAATGAAGAAAAAATTGGAAAAGATGGAAGAATGGAGAAGTGGAAATTGAAGCCATTTCTATCTTTTTCCTTTGGATAATGAAATTTTGAATCCTCAAACTTGTTTCAATTATTGATTTAGTTCTTAAAATTTAATTTTTATCAATCAAATCTCTAAAATTTCAAAACTATATACAATTAGTTCTTTTAATTTGAAGGATAAATTACATATCTTGGGCTACAATACCTCTCTTTAACATAAATATTGTTTAAGAGTTATTTAAGTTTTCATTTATTTTTTAATCTTATTTTAAACATTTACTTATATATACTTCTTTATATAGTGATTTTTTAAATGTATAAGGTGATAAGAATGATGTTCCAAACATATGTGAATTAAAAACTTAATAAATTTCTAAATTTTTGGCCAAAAATAATGGATTAAGAATTTAATTCAAGAAATAAATCAGTTAGTTTGTTAAAAAAACAAGAAATCAATCAATCAATTTGATTTAAGATTATTTTATTACTTTTAACATAATTTATGATTATTAATTTTAAAAAATAATCTTTTAAGCCTTAAAGTTTTGATTCGCTTAAAATCAGCTTTTCAACTATTACTCATTTCAATTCAATCCTTTTTTGATCGAAAAAAAAAAAATCAATCCTTGAACTTTCAATTTGCCTAAAACTCAATCCCTAACTTTTTCACCATTTATAATTTTAGACCCATTTATTTAAAATTAAAAAATAAATAATTTATAGTAGTTTAGAGATTTTATAAAAAGAGATTTATTTTATAAAAATTTAATAAAAATATTAAAATAATAAAAAAGAAATTATTAGTTAATTATTTTTAAACTTTATGATATATTTCTTGATTTTTGCTTTATAAAAATGATTTACTATTATATTATTTTAAAATTTTATAATATCTTTGTGTATTTCAACTCTTTAAAATACTCTCTTTCATATACTGCAGTAGATTATTTTTAAAATTTAAACAAATATAATAAAAACTCACAAAATAGATTAAAAAATAAATGATTTTTTTAAGAAATAAACTAACACAAATGGGTCTTTTATCTTCACCATCAAAAATTCATTATGAACCAGCACTAAGTCATTCTACATGACAAAAATTGTCAATAACACTGTTAAAAAATTGCTCATGTAGTTCTCAACTCAGCTCTTTATGGACTTTATATATATAAATATATAAATATAAATATATATATATATATATATATTTTTTAGAGAATCACATTCAAAGACTATTCAAAAAATTTATTTATAGACAAGGTCTAATAATAACAAATTTTCTTTAAGAAAAAACACGTCCATATTTTTATTTTACCAACAATCTATTTTATATTAGTCTTTACATGTGAATAAATTTCTAAAGTGATCATCAGATATGACTCTCTCTCCCAGGGTTTGAAATGAACGAAGGCCAGACTTTGAAATAGACGAGGAGACAAGCAAAGAGGACTGGAAAGGCAACGACGAATCTGACCAGTAACCTAAGGCCAGTTTTGGAGCTAGAAGATTACTTTTCAGACTATTAAAAAATGTGGTAGAACTATTAGTCATAAAACTATTACATTGAAATTTTCATGACTCTTAATTGTCTGTAGCTTATAATTCTAATTAGATTGTACCAATTATAACATCAAGCTCCATCATCATTGTTTTTTCACAATAAAGTGTTTGACTTCTCTTCATCAATGTGACGATGTCCTCTGCTTCTTCTGTATTCCTTTCATAGGAAACAACAGAGCCAGCATTGTCACCAAGTTCATAGCATTTTCCCCAGAGTCCTTTATATGTTGGAATGAATTTCCCCCTCTACTTCACCGGGATAAACTTGCAAACCCTTCACACACAAAACAATTACAAGTTAGTTTTCTTATGAGAAATTAAGTTAAAAAATAAAATAATTGAAAATTGTGATTACCTGTGTATGTCTTTCCTCACCAAAACAAACATTTCTGACCTTCATCTCTCCTCTACCAGTTGTAGTCTCATCTAATATCTCACCATCTTCCATTTCCCATGATCCCAAAGCATTAGATTCCACATCCTTGTAGCAACCCAAGGAACAAATTACAGATCAATTTACTGAAAAAACGTTTAATTGCATTGGATCAAAATGCTCTCAATTTGCTAAATATGCTGAGGGAATCAGTTAATTAAAGAGAACAAGGAATAGACCGGAGAAAACAGGCTAGGTATTGAACAGTGGATCTTATTTGTGATACAAGTGAAGACTTTTGCTAAAAACGTGCATGGGTGTGCGTGTGGTACATATGGATTTGAAGTGTCAGCTGCTTTTCATGCTGCCCCCTCAAATGCTCAAAATCTCAGCCCTTCATTTCAGCTAATCGTCAGAGAAATCTCAGCCCCTTATATGCATTTTGAAATTCAAAAACAGAGAGAGAGAGAGAGAGAGAGAGTTGAGAAGCTAATTAATACTTATTCAAGAGGAAAGGAGCACCTAAGTATCGGATACCTGAGAAGAGAGATTGAAGGAATGCCTTGGTGCGCAAGTAATCTCTTCATATTCAGCAGCATCAAGTTCCCTCAAATGGTGAGGATTGAAGAGCTTGGGAAGCAGATACTGCCTTATTATGATGAGCACAAAGAAGGGCAAAGGAAACAAGATTCCTGCTATGGGAATCCATGTCACTCCAAAACAAAGCAAGAAATATAAGCACTGGAACAGTGTGAAGAACAATATGCCTCTCGTTGGCACTGTCTCTAGAAATGAAGCATGGTCCCCTTCCAACACCCTATCATTCCATAAAGAAGCAAGGTCAAGCACCTATAGATAATTAAAATGAGAATTAACTACGGCTTTCAAACTCTTGCACTTACTTGTATCTTATAGATAATTAAAATGAGAATTAACTATGGTTTTCAAACTCTTGCACTTACTTGTATCTCCTATTAGGGGCTGCAAGGATAAATAGTATCCTTTCCCAGAACTGGTTTCCAGGAAGACTGTCAATGGCCATGTAAGCAAAGTATCCCCACAAGACTGAAGTTGGTATCTTCTTTATAATAGGCATAGCAAACACAGATGCCCCAACAAGCATTGCTTGTAAGAGATTGCTCACTCTTTGCTCGTTCACTCTTATGGGGAGGTGTTCATCAATGTGTTCCTCAGTATCAAATGTTTCCTTTTTCTCTTCCCCTTTTAGGACAGCTTCTTTCAGGTCCTTTAATTCTTTACCCACTGCAGACTGCAAAATGGAGCAATCCACTTTAGGATGAAGAAATAGGTGAGCTTGAGGTAAAGGTGGTGTTTAGAGAAATAAGGTTACTTACAAGTGGCCTTTTGTCTATTTCTACAAACACTGCTTGCATGCTTCCATAGATCTCAGAGTTGCTTGCATTGCGTCTTATGCTTTCCTTCACACTTTCCATCATCTTCCTTCGAATAAACTGTAACTCCATGGTTATCCACACAAGCAAAGCACATATATTGATCAATTTGTGGTCAATTGTGTAATATGAAACAAGTACTTTATGACTGAACATTCAAAAACCTGCTTCTTGAGAACAGCGAGGCTTTTGGTGTGCATGGGGGATTGGGGAAGAACTCCATTGGAAGGCGGCAAGCCTAGCAACCCACAAAGCAAAGTCTGAAAATTTCTTTATGGGATCAGTGACAAGAGAGTTTCACAGTCCAAATATAATTGTTACATGTGAAGAGAAAAATAAAGTGAAATACCATGAATCCTAGCAACAACACATCATAATGATAGGCAGAAGGTTTCTTCAGATTGAACTCCTTCTGTTGTGCCATTTGAGAAGCAACACTATGATCAAAGAAGTACAGACCCGCAATCATCAATGCAGGAATAATAGCGGCAAAAATATATGCAGGTGGAACCTTCCCCATGTCCTGTACCGAATATTATATCAATATTTAGACTACCATGGATATGCATGACTTCAATTTCATACTATTATGGTTTTAAGAGCAATGTGGATTACTTTGACAACCGTCCAATGGTATATGGAAGTAGATTCCCAAACAAGAGGAGAAAAGAGCCTTCTGGGAACACCAGAAGGAAGTTTACTTGGTACTGTGAAAGAAAGAGCAGTCCAAACTACCACCATTAAAGGGACTCCATAGTCTGCAATGAAACTTCTCAACTTCCCTGTACAAATTACAGAGCAAGTCATTAATAATCTAAGGAATATAATCTTTGCCAATATCACGAGACAAAATTCAACAATGAGACAATATAATTTGATTTGTTCATGTGTGATTTTAAGTGGTACACTTGTCTGTTTTAAAAAAATACGTGCTTCGTGGTAACAAGTAATTGGATGACAAACCTGTTCCGCAGAACCATGATCTGGCTTTTCTGGTCTTCAAAGAAGAAAAGACAAGGCCAATGGTTAATATGATTCCCAGTAATCCATTTGCATATAGCCACTGAAATTTGTACTTCTCTGACGTTGGGTCTTCCTCTTTCGGAACCTTAAACTCACTCACCACTCCCTGGATTTCAGAAAAATAAAGTTCGGACTTCTAACTTTCTGTGTTACATCAAATATTCAATGTATTAAACTGACCTTGATAGCCTCTTGAATGAACAAGACTGTGATCAACATGCCAAAAAGCTCACCAGCAATTCTAGTGAATCTATTGACAATGGCACCAGCATTGAATATAGCTAGAAGGAACAAAAATAAAGCTGTCCAAACACAAACCCTGAAATGGCCATTAATCTAAAATTAGTTTCAACCCATGAGAAATTCCTAGCTGAGCCAGGTTATAAAAGACAATTAAGAAATATAGGTGTAGATTTTTTTAAAATATATGCCTAATATGCCTATAAGTTGATTGATGATTATTTCAGTCTACCTATAATTTTTAGAAATAGACTGCCTATAAAGGTACATAAAAATAAAACAAATTCAAATGTATCTCCAAGTTTTTTTAGTTGAAAAAAAAAATCTGCTCTATTAAACTATTTTGTCCATGCTATCATTAAAAGGAAAAAAATTGAAGTTTTTTGCTATCAGAAGAAGAGGAAGAAGAAAGAAAGAAATTGAAGTTTTTGGTGCTAAAAGTGTTATAATTCTTACCATCCAGCCCAAGCCAAGAAAAGTTCTCGTCCCAAATCATTCCTAGTTTTAGCAAAATTGTACAAGTAAGTGTACATGATGATTGTGGGTTCTGCAACTCCTACTATCAGCAGAGGTTGTCCTCCAATAATTGAGTGTATGATTCCACATATAGCAGTTGAAGCAAGTGTTTCTAGAGAGCTCAAGCTTCCATCTTTAAACAAAGCCACCAAATATCAATAAGAAAATTTCACCTTAAATCATACAAAGACATGCAAACTCTGAAGCACAAACACTCACATGGAACACTAGACATGACATATATATCAAATTCTAAATATTGACAAATAAAATCCAACCTGTGTCTCTACTGAGCTGTTCTCCAAAGGCAATGACAGGAAGTGCAGAAGCGAAGAAAATATAAGTAGCCGGTGCCAATATTCTGTAAGTAACAAGAAAAATAGAGTTGTACGTTGAAATTTGACTAAGCTTCATACTCTGAACTCACTGTAAGAAAATTACCCAATTCCTGAACAGAGACCGGAAATCCAATCTTCCTTGTAACACTTTGCTCTTCCTCGAACATCATCAACTACACCCTTCAAAGGTGCCTTCAAGATCTCCATTCCTAATGGAACAGAAAAATGAAAATTTGATGACTCGGGGCTCTAAAAGATTTGGACTTTTTAAACATGTAATCAAAAACAGAGCAGAAAGAGTTATAAAATAGTGGATGAAGAGAGAGACGACAGAAGTCGAATTGGTCTGTGTGACAATTTCGAGAAAATTTTGGTTATGAAATTGACACAAACAATGATATTAATGCATCTGTAAAGTGCAAATGGAAATGTCAAACTTTCTTAGTCCCCATAGAACTAAGCAGAGCAAGTGCATATAGTAGCCGAAATTTTCTGTTTCATCAATTTGAAGAACTTTTTGGTTTCAGATTATTGTTTCTGAGAGTCAAAACATTAAATTTCGAGAATCCAATCTAAGCCAAACGAAGTACATGCATAAGCAAGATTGACCCAACTTTACCGAATTTTGATTCTTGAAAACAAGAAGAAAGGAGACAAGAAACTCATCTCACCGCTTAGCTCAAATGTACATCTTCCCAAAGTCCCATTTCCCCATTAAATCTTAGATGTCAATAAATGTAATTAATGCAAACGGCATTAAAAAAACAAAACTTGAATTTACGAGAAGAATCCTTCATAAGAAGGAATATTAATAGTATTTATAATACCAGAAGTGTAGCAGTTGTTCTCCGGCGCAACTGAGCTGCGAGATTCGCCGGAGATAATGCCGGAAGTTTCAGGTTAGCGACAATGACTGAATGAGAAAAGAGAAATGGGAATAGGAGAGCAGAGGGCAAGTGTTGAAAGACGTGCTCTACTCAAACTCAGAACGTTCCTTCTTCACTCTGCTTGCTGGCGCCTTCGTTTTGACTGACATTTTTTATTTGCACTAAAGGGCAGTGTATTCAGTGGAAGGCTGGTTGCTTACGACGTGATGAGCAAGGTTTTGAATCTCTTGTCAAAAAAGTGCTCCCATATCGTACCAAACTATGTTTACAATAAGAGGATAGTTTGAGCATTGCCAAAAAAAAAAAAAAAATACATTATATCTTGAAGTGGTTAGGAATTATTTCATGGAGTATACATTATATTTTATTATAGCATTTATTCAAAAATTTAAAACTTAATTCCATGTTTGCATTAAAACTGGAGTAAAATCTATATTCTTGAAGTGGTTAGGAATTATTTCATGGAAAATTTCAAAATTGATTGGTTGTAATTTATTGCAAGCCCATTTTATTGGAGTTTACCTACCAAAACCTTTAATGTTCAGACTAACTAGGCAATTCCTTCATTGTAAAGACCTGAAATCATTTGTATGCAATTTGATGACATATTTAAAAGGAAAAATGATAATAATTTTTTTAAAAAAAATATATTAATGATAATTTGATCCCTTAAAATGCAATAATTCCTCAGGAGTCTGTAGAGACTTTTCTGTCATTAATAAATTTATATAAATTATCAAATTACTCTTATTGAAAATAAATGATTCACAAGTTTTGTTTAAATATTTATAATTTTTCTTCTTATATTTACAATAATACAATAGCAAATCATAATTTCACATGCTAATTCTTTATTTACTATTGTATTGTTGTGAATTTTAAAAAAAAGTTATGAATATTTAAACAAAACTTGTGAATTATTTATTATTAATAAGGGCAATTTAATAATTTATATAAATTAATTGATGACAGAAAAATTCTTAGAGACTTCCAAAAACTTATGACATTTTGAGAGACTAACTTGTCATTTATATATTTTAGAGAGATTTTATTATCATTTTCCCTATTTAAAATTTAATTGAAATAAAATTTATTAAACTTGGACCGAAAACTGGATTAATTCTAATTTGGTAAGTGACTCTGTAATAAACAAATTTGGGTGTGATTTATAATGGATTTGAAATTTTGGTTAAATTTCGTATCTAAAAATATTCATTATAATAATAATTTCATAAATATATTTAGAAAAATTTATAGAACATAATGACACAATTACTTGAAAGACAGTGATGGATATAGAGAAGTATACACGGTAATATGGGGGAAAAATTGAAAATCACATAAGATATGGGGAGCTAAATATAGTTTTTTTTTTCTTCAGTCATTAGGATCATTTTGAATTTTTTTAAAAAATATATCTTAATACTTTTTAAGTATTGATGTGAATTATCATAATTGAGATATTCATCAAGTAAATGAACTTATATCACTCATTAAATATAAATCCCTCATTGAAAGGGGACAATTATAATTTTTGAGAAAAGAAAAGGTCATTACACTAATTTGTGGTTTGAAAATTAAGTTTACTCGGTTCAATTTTTTTAATTAAAAACTTAAAATTTATGGCATAAAATTAAGAGGCTACCAACCCCTTATTCCCTTATGGACCACATGTTTCAAATAAAAAAAATACAAAATTTTATTTTTCCTCGTTTGAATTGGAATATTCAATCTAGTAAAAAAAAAAATGGAACATTCAATGGTACTTTTCATCAAGTCCACATGTATGTATGTATGTATGTGTGTCATACCTATGGAACCTTGGTCGGATCAGATATCTGGCATAATCATCTCTTTTTTACCTCTTTATAAATCCATAACAATAATATATAATTTGAACGTATTTAATAATTAATTAAACATAAAGAGTAGCATTAAATGGTATTTTTACTAAAAACTTTTATCGATTATACTTATCTAAATTTATTTTAAAAAAAAAAAGAAAAAAGAAAGAACAGAGTGATTTGTGAAGACAATGGCTGAAATATCTGGACGTGGGAGAATTTCGGTGGCAATTAGAAGGTTTTTTTTTTTTTCGAATGGGCTGGAAATTGGAAAAAGTGATTGGTGTTCATATATAAGGTTCAAAACAACCAATTGGCGTTGATCCCAGTGAAAATGACTATAATTGTTTTAAGTATGAAATTTTAATTAAACTCGAATCTGATTTAGTCATATAGCCATATAAATAAAACAAGAAGATGGTGAAAAAAGTCAAGCACGCAGAATTGAACAGGACAATTGTAGAGTTCTTATTCGTCGCTTATGGTACTTGCCTTATAGCGCTTGAAAACGAGAGATCTTTGAAAATGAAATGTTGATGAAGCGGCTCATGCAAATGAAGTGGTAGCTACGTCGTTTCATTTCAATCCTCACAATCAACCCAAGATGAAGTCACTATTGATCTTTGATTTCAGAGATGAATGGAGTATATTTATCTTCGAAATTTTTAAATTTTATATTATTTTTATAATTTTGATATATTTTAAATCAAAGATAAAACATCATTCAAATCAACAATATTTTAAAACTTTATTCGAGCAAATTCAGAATTATTATTTTTAAATTAAAAGAAATAAATTGTACAAAATGATAAAAATTACAATATAGATTAGAGAATGTTGAACTCGAATAAAATTACTTTTAATAGAAAAATATTTATAAGCAATAAAAAAAAGTATCTGAACACCTAAAAGACTAAAAGAAAGCATGGGTAAGGGTTAATTTCAAAGTTAGGATTGATTAAAGAGTAGTTACAGTTGGCAACATAAATTAATCAAATTGAATTAACTAAAATTGACATGAGTAATTAGGGTTACTGTTACTTAAACAAGAAATTCTTATATAAATACGATACACCAAGTCATTTATAGATTATCTAATAAAATTATACCATTTCAACCAAATAAAATTCAATGTCATTATTTCCAATGATTTTGTTTTCTGGAATCAGGTGTCCTTAATTCTTGTTTTTCCCTTTTTGTAACCATCAATGACAAAATAAATTTATATTTATAATCATATAATGTGATTTGTTTTTATTGGATGCTTACCAATGACACGGTACACTAATTTTGTAAAAAAATTTTCATTTAAACAAGTAGTTAAAGGTTAGAACCTTAACTCATAAATGTAATAATTTAATTAAGAGATGCTTACTCTTTACCTTTAATGTGTCAACGGAGTTAACTTCTTGTACTCACCCCAAAAACAAAAAATTGAATTGAAATTTGATTGAATGAATTTTTTCTAAATTGTAAGGTTAAAGCAATGAGAATATATAAACATGTTAAAGAAAATTATATATAAATATTTTATATTTCATATATGTGGAAATTATGTCATTTGGTTATTGCTCCTAAAAGGACGAGATGCATGGCAGGTAAGATGGAGAAACGGGTCCCAAGTGGACCAAAGAATCGCTATTGATGGAGACTCCGTTGGAAAGGAAGAAATGAATGTGAGAGATCAATTTTCGTTGGAACTTGCATAGGCGGTCGCGGCTGGACCAGTTTTGCTTGAGAAGGACTTGCTGTTCTTTCTTGGGTCACAAATTGCAAACCAATTTTGCTTCCTATTGGAAATTTCTCTATTTTTTGAAGTCTATTCTAACTATGGAATACAGTTCAGGACCTTATTTATAGAGATTCCTCATAACCCTCACATTCCAAAATAATAGATCCGTTCATTCAAATAACAAATGTATGTTGACACAATTACTTGACATCAAATACTATGAAGTCATTTTTTACTCCCAAAAAAATATACTACGAAGTCATATTTAAACATTATCATATCCAATTAAAAGTAGCTAACATGATTTTACTATCCATAAAATTCTAACTCTCGATGTTGCTTGAGAAGAATCAAGAAAAATTGACTCCTTTCTATTCAACCCAACCAATGCCATTGTCAATATTATTATATATTGAATGACAGAATGCTAACATAAAATATTAAATTAGTCATATATCAACAAAAGATAGCATAACATTAATGTAGATATTTGAAATACAAGATATCTGAATACAAAACTTATGAGTCAGCTAGGCATGCTTAAATTCCCCCACTATCCTAATCCTATTTGTTGAAGCAAAAGTATGCATGTGTCAAAGTTCTCAATGTTCTATAGATTGTTCTTTATGAAGTCAAATAAGAAACATAATAACTCCTACAAAGCATATATGATTTCACTTAGCCCTCAAAAATTGCACTTTATAGTGAGTCTTCTTATAACATCATGTATCTCCTCCTTCTGTTCCTGTTAAGAAAACAGCTCAAGTTAAAACTAACTAAACATGAGAAACTAGGGCAACCAGTTTGTGAGCAATGCATGTTAGGCCCAGGGATCATCTCAGAAGGGGAGATAACACAGTTGGTCTGCCTAATGGTTCCAAGAAGAGACATATAAGTGAATATGACATCACATCTTAATCCAAAACCTTAAGGTATTAAGTTCATGAATCTTTTTCATTTATATACGTATTCTCCAATCCAACTACAATCAATGTGAGACTTTTTCCCCATACCCAGTCAAACCAACTCATTAACACTCGTGGGCTTCTAAGGCCTTTTCTACACCAATCTCTAATACCACTTGTTGGGCCCAAGGGGCATTTTGGAAGGGGGAAGAACACAGCCCAGCTGCCCAATGGTTCCAAAAAAACATATATAAGTGAAAATAACACCATATCTTAACCCAAAATCTTAAGGCCTTAAGTTTATAGGTTTTTCCCCTTATATATCTCTTGTCCAACCCAACTATAATTGATATGGGACTTTTTCTCCATACCAAGTCAAGCCAATTCACGCTTGACAACCCAACAATGCATTAGCATAAGATATATAGAGAGTTCTTGTGTAAGGTTTCACTATTAGATTCATCATATTAGAAAACACAACGTGCACATTTCTTGTGAGTTGACATAAGTTCATCCACATTTCAAGAACCATATCAATTTAAGTCGTGTCTAAAAGATAAGTGAGTGTTGAGGAAGCTCAATTACCTGATATAATGCATTCCACCATACATCTGACTTATGCTGTAGTTTACGCCAATCAAAAGCCATTTGGTATTCAATTGTATTGGGCTGTGCACAATGCGACGTTGATAGTGCATTTTTCTTTCAACAAGTGAAGAACAAATAATGTAAATCCCAGTTTCCAAAATCACAAGATAAAAGGAGTCAATCATGAGCTAAACCACCATACCATCTCCTCAGTTTGCTTATGAAGATCAAATCTGTCCATGACAAAATGGCCTGGGAAGTTAGTTTGTTCGCTATTTTCTCTTATCCTTCCTTTCATGGCACTGACAACCCTACATTTTCCAGCTACATGTTATGATTTCCACTTTTTTAGGTCACAGAGGAGAGTCAGGAGATTAAGAAACAGATTTGAGAGGAGCATGGAGCTGGGAAAGGGTCATAGTCAAGGACCATATCCTTAACATAAACTCTTAAGTGAGACCAATGCCATATAAGCTATCAATTTATTGGCATGTTAGATGCCACCTTAAGCTCTAAAGTCCCATATTAATTACTACCTAACTTCCATATATAAAACTGAACAAAATTATGTTAGTGAAATCACCTTCCATCTCCAAGAATTAGGCATCTCTTATTCAACTGAGATAAGGCAGATTCAGCAGCATCTTTTGTCTTGAAGACAACAAATGCTCTACCTATCAGCACAAATCAAGAATCAAATGAATGTGTCATGTAGTACCGAGAGAGAAAATGATCAACTTTTTGAAGGATAAAGAGAAGGGTGAATTACCATAATGTGGATTGAAAGTAGGGCTCCATTCTACCATCTTTGCCTCAACTATCTCATTGAGGGTATGCCAAATAAGATCCTGAAAATGAGAAAGCCAAACCCTCTCATATGATGGTACAGTACATGTCATGATTGTCTTAATAAGAGAAAGAAGAAACAAGATATTATTATGCTAGAAAGTAGAACAAAAGGAAAGACCAGTGGTAAATTAGGATCATACACAATACCTCAACTTCATTTGACGTGCAGGATGGATCCAGATTATTCAGTAAAATCAGGCAGCCCAACTCTTGACCTTTCCTTAGTCTTTCTTCCCAAGGCTAACAAAAAATCAGAAAGAAACATGTCTAATTATAAACTTTATGAAATATATTAAGCAGTTTATCTGATCAACAATCTCTTTTAACACAATACAATTGCAAGGAGAGATGAGAGTGAGAAATTATGTAAAGGAACCCGGATAAGCCAGCTCCAAGTTTGTCAAACTACTCAAAAAACATTAATAACAGTAAATACCTGCGATTATACAACGTAACATTTACCAATTGGCTTCAAAATAATCACACAAACTGGAACCTTTTCATTGAAAATGCATTTCCTTCAGCTAAAATAGGCTCAGTTCTTGGCAAAAAACTTTGTGATGATTTCTAGCAGAAGTGAACTTTTGGGGGGGGGGGGGGGACTAGCAGCAACATCTAGTAGACTAGAGCATCCACTATAAATAAGAGCTCACCGGTTGCTTAAACCATCTTCTTTTCTCCTGCAACCATGGACGAAAGGGGGTTAGAAGAGACACTAAAGTCATGTACAAAGTTACATGTATTTTTAGAGCTCGAAAATCATGTTTTTTACTAACGAGATTCTGAATCCTCTAGACAAGTTCATAAGTTGAACCATTAATATGAAGAGAGCAAGAAATATTTTCATGGGACATTTTAGCAGTGACAAACTAAGGAATTCTATATCTTTGTATTAAAATTGTGAGATTTTAAATTGGTTGAAGTGAATGAAAACATTCATTAGTCTTCTAAGTAAATATATTGCTATTTATATAAAATATCATCATAAATGAAACTACCCACTAACAACTACAATTAACAATGCTTAAATTTATGAGACCAGCCATCTAAAATAATTACATCTACTCAACAACCATATTTAATAACATCAATAATTATATTTAACACCCTAACTAAAACACAAGATAGGATAACGGAACCATCTTGAGTTTGTCCACCAATATACACAAGTCACCTATACTGTGTCATTTAGCAAACAGCCCAGCTAGTTGACAAGAAGATGGAGCTATCAAAGACAAAGACAAAGGAAGTACAAGTCAACAGAGAATACCATATTTGAAACATCCAGGTGATGACATTTCAGAATTGGTCTAACTCAGTCAAGAACTGGTTTAAATACAGATGGATTGGTTAAATAGGAAAGAAGAAGGCTGCTTTACAAAATGGACGTTAGGTAGCAAGCATTTCACAAAAGGCACAAGAGGACTTGGGCAACAACAAGAATAGAATTTTTAAGAAAAATAGTAGACATAAACTTGGAATAACTCTCAAAGGAATAAATCACCAAACAAAAGGACTTCAGCAAAGAGAACAAACACAAATTTTAAGAGAGATTGTCAAAGGAATGAATCACCAAATAGAAAGGGTTTAGGAAAGGGGAGCAAACACAAACTTAAAGACATTCCCATTGGAATGAATCACCAAACCAAAATAATGGAGTGATTCTTATTAAAAAAAAAATGTCACTTGACAGAAAACTCAGTGATTCTTAGAGAAATAAATCATTAGACGGAGAAGTCAGTAATTCTCAGAGGAATAAATCATTAAACAAAGTCATCAAAGTGATTCTTGAAAGAATGAATCACAAAATTGGAGTCAGAGTGATTTCTACATAAATAGAACAATAAGTAGAGAATAATAGGGAAATTTCAACAATAAGAGAGAAGGGAAGAGGGATAAATTGTAGCAAAACAGAAGGACAAAGCTCCACCACTAAATACTCTAACTCTGATGCCATGTGAAGTTTCAAAAGGCTTAAAGTGAATAAAAAAATTTCATTGCTCTTTTGAAATGGATGCATGGCTATTTATAGAGAATATCATCATAAATGAAGCTATCCGCCAATAACTACAATTAATGAGGCTTATATTTATGAGACCAAACATCTAAACTAATTACATCTACGTAATAATCATATTCATTAACATCATTAATTAAATTTAACAAAATCCCTGCATCCTTTTCTCTCTCTCTCTCTCTCTAACCAGTTTATTTTTTCCTTCTTTCAGATATTAGCTGAAGTAACTTCTGATAAAATAGTTCAAATAGGAGAACCAAAATGAATTTCTCAAGTCATACATTGCCTGGCCTCCCAATGACCTCCTCAAACTCTTGGCAATGTTTTACTACTTTGCCCAATCCAAGCTTAGATGCACCTTTACTTTGACTTTGCTCATGAAACACGTTTCTTCTCCCGTCAAAATCCTCTTTCACAGTAGATTCTTTACTTTGACTGCCAGACAGCTTATGTTCTATCACCTTCCTCTTTTTGTATGGAAAAGAATTTAATAGCTTGTTCTTTTTCACAATGTCAGGCCTCGCTTCTGCTTTATCATCACATTGGGGTCGAGGCATACAAGAAGGATCAGTCCTCTTCTTAACCAAAATTCCAGGCCTTGGTATCAGATTACTGATCTTTTGAACCTTCTTCCTGTTGAAGATTTCCTCCACTGCAGAGAAGTAACGCATTGAAATAAAGTCAGGAAATCTGGGAATGCTATTTTACAACAACTATAGACTTCTCTTTCGAAAACATTCCTGTAATTGCCACATATCATGGGTCAAGTATTTCCTATGCTTCGTTCACAGTTTAGTTCATGAAGATACCAGGCCAACCAGCAAATGATAACTGACCTTTGACTCCACCAATAAGATCTGCAAATTTATCCATTATTGAAAGGCAGCTAACATCAAAGCAATGCTTGAAAAAAAAGTCTGCCGTCTTTAGCTCTGCTTCTGATGGCTCAAGATTTCTTTTGTCCCTTGCAGTGCAAACAACATTGCATTTTCCAATTATATTTTCCTGAAAACAGAATTTATCTTTCAGGGTAGAGATAAAATCAACATATCTTTACCATACCAACAAACATGAAAATTTGAATCTTCCAATCATAAGCATTGAATTCAAACATTTACCTTGTATTAGTAAGTATGTGCATGGTTGATAAGAAAGGAAACAGTTAAAAGCAATAAATAAAAGCAAACGGCGTATAAGTATCTCCATATGCATATGCACCTAGTTTCATTTTTATGGGGGTTCAAAATTGAAGCCTCCTCTTGTAGTTTTAAAATAAAAAAGTAACACACTATGTCTGTAGTAATTCAAAAGATTCTGGATTAGCCCATGAAGCATCCTCCTATAAGGCCCAGGAATGTCAACTATTGAATAAATACATTATTACTTTGGCCAAAAAATAAATAAATAAATACATTGTTACTTACGTCACAGAGCATTTTTAGCAGCTTTTGTGTGTATGATGATTAGTATTATGATAGAACCAACTTTAATCCAGTAATGACTCAATACAAAAACAAGAAAAATTAAATGAGCAAACATATTCCAGCCATTCAGGGTCCTTGAACCAACAAATAATGACTATGCCTTCACTGAATTTTCCTTTCATCATCTCCAAATCTTTAATACTTGCAATAAACAACATTACACGGTATCAAAGTTAACAGTTTAGAAAAATAGTAAATAAATCAGCTTACCAGAAAATTGACATTTGAAACACCTTTTCCTTCACCACATGCTAAAAATAACTCTTTCCAATGGGGCTGGTAATTTCCCAAGTGTTTATGAATGTCAACAGGACGAAGAAACCAGACAACTTTTACCTTCTTTTCATGGGTTGGAGTCTCAAATATCCTCACAAGCTTACCAATAGATGTTTCAAGATCGCCTATTTGGTAAAAGTAGACACAATCATATAGAAAGAACTCCACGCCCTCATAAGTGAACGACTCATAGAACTGGACGTCTTTATTATTCTGACCAACTCCCCTCTTGTTGCCCCACTTAAAATTTGTCTTATCTTCAACTTTTGTCTCTGGTGGCTGTGACATTGCGCATAATCTACAAGTTGTCAATGCTCAAAACAAAAGGTTGAAACTAACCTAAGATAAATAAGTAAATTATACACTGCAAACTATAAAGCATAAAAACTAATGATCAATAGCCAAAACTGAATAAAGTATCTAGCATTGAAAAAAAAAATGACATTGAAAATCCATGAATTGGAAGATGCCTAAATTATTTAGTTAGCTTAACAAAGATCAGAAGTAAAGAGCTAAGAAATTGTTGCAGAAAATCATCTGAAGAGCACAATCTAAGAAGAAACTACTGCAATGGCAGTTGCAAAGAAAAAGTCCAATCGGAACCGCAGGAGAACTAACTAACGAAAGCTGTTTGAGACAACAAACTATAAAGCTGCAAGCTCCCTTGAGCAGGTTTTCAGGCTTTCAAGTAAAAACAAAAGTGAAATAAGTCTTCAAAGGAGAACAATCATAATACCACACAGCCTGGTTAAACCTGATTCTAAAATAATCGACTGCGGAAAATGGCCGTAGCAAAAGGAAGTACTTAAGCCTAAAGCAGAAAAGTCCTCCACTCCTCAAGCAAACACCATTAGCATCGCCAGTTTAAAAAAAAAAAAAATGAATCAATGGAAGGAATAGCAGGGTAGTATCTGCAGCATTCGCTATCGGCAGTTTTAGTAGCTTGAAAAAAACCAAGCGTACGTCAATATTTAGAATAAACAACACATGTAGATTGAAACAATCACACCAAACAAACACCTCAAGGAAAAAAGGAGACAAAACCAAAACCCAGATAATCGATTCCCAACGACGGGAAAAAGAAAAACTCGCAATCCGTATCCAGAAAAATTTCTAAAAAAAAAAAAATTGAAACAGAGCAATCATCAGTGAAACAAAGGCATCAAGACTTTAGAGAAATTCTGTAACGGTATCAACGCTTTCCTGCATGGAAGAAAACATAACTTGGGGGTTAAGCCAAAGAAATAGACAGACCATTTCACATTGATGCATCAGTATAAGCGTGTGAAAGTGACTGTTCAGTAGCTAGCGATGGAAGACAGAGATGTCACAAGAGTATTGGAAGAGGAGGGAGACGCTCAAACGTGTTTTCAAAATGGACAACAGGAACAAAACGCATGTTCTGAGAGAAAAGAGAAGACTCAGAAGAGGAATAGAAGGGGAAGAAGGAAGAAACACAGAAAATGAGGTTCGACTCCGAGGGCGCTGAGTAATCGAGACTTGAGAGTAAGTGGAGGAAGGCAGTGAGAAACTGGGAATTGAGAGGAAATAGGGGTCAAAGTGAGAATATTGCCGGAACTGGAAAGCAAGAATTTTTATTTTCACTTTTTTTGACAAATAGAAAGCATGAATTTCGATGTCGGTTTTAACAGTGACATGATATGATGTCCTTTGAGATTACAGGGAAGAGACAACTTCATGCTTACTGTGGTTTTTTGACCACTAATCAGAGGGGTGATTAAAATTAGTTATATATATATATATATATATATATATATATCCCATTATATTATAATTTCATAATGTATATTGACAAAAGTCAAGACATTTTCTCCAGTACTGTCTATACCTTGTATTTTCATACAAGATAAAATATGTAGAAACAATCCTTTTTAAATTATGAACATAATATAGAAGAAGCGGAGAGGATGAGATTATGGGAGTGTGAAGCTATGTTTTACGAATAGGGCTCATGCTAGAGTGCGCAGGGGTGTAAATGCGCGGCTTGCCCCAAAGGGCGCTAGTGTACGGACGTGACAGCGACATGTTCTTTGTGAATTCCGCCTCAAGGGTTTTTCTAGATAATTTTGAATAAAGACAAAAGATGGATATGACATAATTATTTATAAGTCCTAAAAAATTATAAAATTTTAATTTAATTTAAAAAAATAAAAGTAAAAATAATTTTAAATGTAAAAAAATTAAAGTAATATTTATTATATAAAATAATTAATTATTATTTTTTTAATTATTAATTTATCAATATCACTTATAAATTACATTTATTTATGAAGCAAACAATAATAATAATTATTAACTTAATAATTTTATTTATTAATTTATTAACATCAGTTGCAAATCATTGACTTTAATAATTCACAATTGATGTTAATAAATTACAAGACTTATCAATAATTTATAATTAATGTTAGTAAATTAACAATTTAATAACTTATGTTACTATTTATAATTGAACAATTAATATTAAATCTTATATAATTATTGACATGACAATTCATGCAATTTATATTTCATATTAGTAAATTAATAAATAAAGTTAAAAATTAATTAGTAATTTTACATAACAAGTTAAAGATGTTTTGATCTTTTTACATTAGAATTATTTTCATTTTTATCTCTCTTAACTATATTAAAATTTTAAAATTTTTTAAGACCCACTAGTAATTATTTCACTTGATTCTTATTTAAAATTCTTCCTAATAAAAATAATCCTTTCTTGTTTTTGGTGTGAAATCGGGAATAGGGAGGCTAGAGCCAAAAACCAAAATATATATATATATATATATATATATATATATACACAAAGCAGTGGGGGGAAGTTAATACTTAACCGATTCTCTTTATAATTATTTTATCAATCTCATCAATATCAATTAAAATAATAAAAAGAATAAAAATATGTAAAATTTTAAATATGTTTTTATATAACAAATCTAAAAAGTGATATTTTCTTTATTTAAAAATATAAGGTATATTTAACTAAATCTCACCCCTCAATAAAATAATTACCTACCATCAAACTAACTCTATCTTTTTATATTTACCTCTAACAAATACCTTACAATAAATATAAAATTATTTATCAATAGAGACACTTTAAAAAAAATGATTACACTTTAAAAGACTAAAAAAATACTTTATATTTTTTAATATTTAACTTTTTAAAAAATATTTTATATTTTTAAATGAATAAAATATCACATTACATTTTTTTTCCATAAAAAATAATTTTAAAAATATTTTTTAAATGCTACACATCTTGACTTATAAATTCAACCAAATAAATCTTATAAAATGTGCCATCAAAGCGCAGGAAGTAAATATGAGAGGGTAAAGGGAAACGTGTTTACTGTCTACTTTCACGAAATGGGTAATGAAGCAGCCTGAGAGGCGTGGAATCTCTGGTTAATGTTATTCAAATGCTAATGTACATTCAGTGTTCGATGCTACTTCTTTCTTCTTCTTCTTCTTCCTCTCTCTCTCTCTCTCTCTCTCTCTCTCTCTCTCTCTCTCTCTCTCTCTCTCTCTCTGATTTTTTTTTTTTGTCTTCTTCTTTCTCTACCTCTGAGGCGAACACTGTGATTGTGATGGTGGTCATCATAGCGTTGTGCATCTTCTCCGCCGTCGCGCAGTCCCGGCTTAGTCTCCCAAGGCAGCGGCGACTCCTTCACTGAAGACTTCTTCCACTGTGACTCCACCGGCGATCTCCGATGAGTGTAACCTCTCCTTCGCCTACACAGCATATTCTCCCTCTCCATCTCCGGCCGCCGGTACTCATACTTTGCCGAAAGTCCTCCCGTCACTTACCCAGATATTCTGCTTATAAAATATTTAGATTTAGATGAGTGAACAATTTTGCTATAATTCTAAGATGTTACTTTTTTTTTTTTAGAATTGTTGGAGTAAAAAACTTAGGCCCCAAAATAAAATTTTTATATTTATTATAAATTTGAAATTCTAGTATAATTTAATTAGTACATGTACTTAAAATTAAAAAATCAAATTGTCTTTTTTAAAAAAAATTAAAAAGATCTCTCCTCTCCTAAGCATTAGGGATGGGAATAGACTAAATTTCTATCAAGAGCTCACATTTTGACCTAATTCAAATCTAACCTAATTTATTTATTAAATAAACTTAAGCTAGATTTAATTTTTTTAATTAGGCATATTTAATTAAATAGGTCAGATTTATTTTTTCAAGGTTTAATTTACGAACTCAACAGGGCCTATTTATGTACATGCATACATATATTATGTAATATATCATACGCACATCAGTTTCATCATTTAATTTTTAATTAATATGTTTTTTTGTCCTTGATTATGTTTTCAATTAAATTGGACTCATATATTAATTTTAGTGTTATTACTTTTTTTTGGTATTCTATGTTATTACTTTATTATTGTATTGTATTATAATTGTTAAATCATTTTAATTATTATATATCATTATAATCGATGAATCAAGTTATATATTTATATTAATAATCTTAAAGTATATTTGAAACGTTTAAAACTAAAATATGAAATTAAGTAAACTTTTTAAATAAACTTTTAGGACAGGATAGGCCAAGCTTTATATAGACTTAGGCTTAAGCGAAGCCTTATGCAAGTTTCAAACCGAACTCATGCCTCTGACTTATCACATAAACTTAAACCTATTTGTTCAAAGTCTAGTTCGATCTAGCTTATTTTTACCCTTAACTTAGACATGAAGATGAGGGTAGTAAGGTTCACAAAATAAATTTCAAAAAATGGAAGCAATTTTATGGTCATTGTGATGAAATTAAATTTTTAACTTATTTTAGAATTGTAACTCTTACATACCAAACATGTTTAGATTAGGATTTCTTCTTTAATTTCATTTTCACCTTATAAATTCAATGATATCAAATATGGTCTTAGTGCAGTAAAGTCTACTCCTTCTAAACTCTCGAACTTTTCAAATGAATCTGATGGTGACATTATTGATCACTTCTTT